TTTCACCAAAGAAGATACCCAAATGGCTAATAAGCATATGAAAAGATGTTCAACATCGTTAGTTATTAGGAAAATTCAAATTAATACCACAATGAGATATCAGTAAACAGCTGCTAGATTTGTTATATTTCAGAAACCATCCATACCAGGTGTTGGTGAGGATACGGAAAAAATGGAGCCTCATACATTACTGGTGGAAATGTAAAACAGTACAGCCACTTTGAAAAACATTTGGTTGTTCTTTAAAAAGTTAAACATATGTTTTATATATAGCCCAGCAATTCTACTCTGAAGTATCTACCCAGGGGAAATAAAAACATTTGTCCACTTGGATACAAATATTCATAGCAGCATTATTAATCATCCAGAGTAAGAAAAAATTTCTTAAGAAATAAAATGCACTAGTTATAAAGGAAAATATTGATAAACTTGATTACCTTAAAATTAAGAATTTCTTGGAAAGAACTCTCCAGACATTTGTATGGAATAACAAAAGACCTTGCATAGCCAAAGCAATGCTGACATTCTCCTGCATATGGATATCCAGTTCTCCCAGCACCATTTGCTGAAGAGGCAGTCCCGACCCCATTGAATAGGCTTGGTGCCTTTGTCAAAGATCAGATGGCCGTAAGTGTGTGGGTTGATTTCTGGATTCTCTATTCTGTTCCATTGATCAATGTGTCTGTTTTTCATTCTCCTGCATATGGATATCCAGTTCTCCCAGCACCATTTGCTGAAGAGGCAGTCCCGACCCCATTGAATAGGCTTGGTGCCTTTGTCAAAGATCAGATGGCCGTAAGTGTGTGGGTTGATTTCTGGATTCTCTATTCTGTTCCATTGATCAATGTGTCTGTTTTTCATTCTCCTGCATATGGATATCCAGTTCTCCCAGCACCATTTGCTGAAGAGGCAGTCCCGACCCCATTGAATAGGCTTGGTGCCTTTGTCAAAGATCAGATGGCCGTAAGTGTGTGGGTTGATTTCTGGATTCTCTATTCTGTTCCATTGATCAATGTGTCTGTTTTTCATTCTCCTGCATATGGATATCCAGTTCTCCCAGCACCATTTGCTGAAGAGGCAGTCCCGACCCCATTGAATAGGCTTGGTGCCTTTGTCAAAGATCAGATGGCCGTAAGTGTGTGGGTTGATTTCTGGATTCTCTATTCTGTTCCATTGATCAATGTGTCTGTTTTTACAGAGTGGGAGAAAATATTTGCAAATTATACATCCGACAAAGGATTAATATCCAGAATGGCGGGAGCTAAAAAATAAACAAATTAATTCACCCACATACACACACAAAAAAAAAACTGGGGGGGGGGGAAGAAGATATAACAACCATACCTTTTTGAAGTTGTTACAACAAGCAAACGGAAAGGACATTCTTGGGGGGGGAGGGGAGAGAGGGAGGAGGGAGGGAGGTGTCGGTGATGGGCCATAATAATCATATACATTGTATATTGACAAAATAAAAATTTAATTAAAAAAAAAGAAATAATTGTAGTTGGAAAAAAAATAAAATTATTTTTAAATTAAAATAAATAAATAAATAAAATAAAAAAATAAATAAATTAAGAATTTCTGTTCATCAAGAGAGTAAACAGTCAAGCTACAAAGTGGAGAAGATATTTGCAACACAAACTATCAAAGGGCTCAATTCAGAAAATATACAGAACTCCTAAATATTAAGGAGAAAAAAAAGGACAACTCAATAGAAAAGTGGTCAAAAGATTTGAAAGGCCCTCTACAATACGGAAAATGAAATGTCCAGTAAAAATATTAAAGGTGTTCAACATTTTCTAATAGTCAAAGAAATACAAATTACACCAAAATCAATGAACACTGCAGACTCACCAAAACGGCAAAATTTTAAAGTCTGATAATACCAAGTGTTGGTGAGGATGTGGAGCAAGAGGAACTCTCTCACACTGGTGATGGGAATGTAAATCTATGCAACGATTTTGGAAAACTTTCTTATTATTTGGTAAAATTAATTATGTGTTTTATTTTTAGGCATATGTGCTTACCTGCATTGTGATATTTGTTCTTTAAAGCAAAACGGTGTAAGCAACACAAATGTCTGTGAGTAGTAGACTAGATAAGGAAGTTATGGTATATTCATATAACAGGAACAAAAACAAACCAATCTATGGTGACTTGTAATAATATGGATGCCTCTTGAAAATATGTGTGTGTGAGTACATCCTTATAACACCAAGGTCACGAGTTTGGATCCCCCTCCTGGCCAACTGCCAAATAATAATAATAATGATAATGATGATAACAACAACAACAACAACAACAACAACAACAACTTTGCATACCAGCCAGCCTCAAAAAAAAAAATTTGGATTAAAGAAGCCAAACATACACAAAATGCGTAAAGTATGATTTTATTTATATAGGTTTTAAAAATGGATGAAAGAAGCCAAATGTACACAAAGTGTATGAAGTTTGATTTTATTTATATAGATTTCAAAAACAGGCAAATTAAAGCTATACAGTTTAGAGATACTAACTCAACTCAGAGTAAAAGTATGAGGCAAAGCAAAGTAGAGAATTTCAATCAAGTTAGTCTGCTTTTATTTTAAATTTTGGTATTTTGCTCATTTTGAATTTTTGCACTATGATTTTCTAAAATATTGTGTTAAAATTGTATTTATCTTGATTATTGTGTTTTTTTGGCACCACCTCAAATTTTGTGCCTGAGGTCAGTGCCTTAAATGCCTTACCCTAGTTCTCACCCTGGTCAGAATAGTGGTTACTCCTAGAGGAGGGGGAAAGGGGTAAGGGGTCACCATCAGGAAAGGGCCATCGCTGGGGATCTGGAGTGCTAGCAACGATCTATTTCTTGGCTGGGTGGTTATATGGATGTTCATTTCACAATGATTTAATAGGCTTAACATTTATATTTCATGTACTTTTGTGTATGCTTGAAAAATTTAATAATGGGGAAAATATAAAGGTAGATATAGACACTTGAAAAGGGAGTCTTTACTACTAAAAAAAAGGCTGACTTTTTTTCTAAATCTCTAAAAGTATAATTTTGGGGCTTTTAAATGTATTTGGCATAACTTCTTGACTGAGAAGAGCATAGATGATTTTCCTCATGAGAAGAAATTTTCTATTCATTGCATAATCCCATTTTCCCATCAAAGGATATTTACTGTAAGGGAGGTTGACAGGAATAACCAAGCCCACATTTTCCCAGGGCCTAATTTGTATGACTGGCAAGAAATCCTGGTTGTAAGAGAACAGTTTCATTCTTTTTTTTTTTTTTTTTTTTTTCCACTGGCTTGTGCAGGGATTGAACCCTGGACCTTGGTGTTATCAGCACCATGCTCTAACCAACTGAGCTAACCAGCCAGCCCCATAAACGGTTCCATTCCTATGATTAGTAGACAATGGAATATTATTTAGTTATTAAATAATAGTATAAATAGTAATGATGTACCTAGATGTGAGTGTGTCCAGACCTAAATGCAGCGCTCAAGTCGTCTCCATACTCTCAATTTACATTTCTTCAAGTATTTTATTGAGTCTGACCTGTATGCACTGGCTTTTTCTCCACACAGAATGTGAGAATTGGGACCAGGAGATAATCTAAAAATCATGTACTATATAATCACCTACTTACAGTCATAAATAAGAAAAGAGGAACTTTCTTTCCACTTTCTGTAGAAACCAATTTGTTAGTTATTGTTTTAATATTGCTCTTCTTCATGAATTCCAGAAGGTCAAGACCACCATTTAGTAGGCACAAGAAGCTAAAATCTGCCTGGTCCCAGATGTCTGAGTAGAGATATCAGAGGCATGATGCTGTGGTTGTTGAAAAAGAAGCTTATTAATCTTATAGGCAAAGATCTACAAGGTTATTAGATAAAGGCCACGAAGGGAAGAAATAGGCCTAATTTTAAAGCCATTTAAACATCAGCAGACAAAGCCTTGTGCCCGTTAGCAGACTTTGCTCTTGGTGCTCCCCGTCATCTCAGATATTTTGCCTCTGAGACCTTGTTGGAACAGACAACTTCAGGACTTTGAATTTTTATGCAGGAGGCACAGCCTGTCTTCCAGTTATCTATGCTGTGTAGCAATCTACCCTGAAACTTAGTGGTTTAAAACAACAGTAATCATTTCTTTAGCTCACTAAACTGCAATGTAGGCAGGTCTCACTGGGAAGGCTCATTTCTTTTCCACGTGGCATCAGATGGGGTAGCTAACCTGGGGCTGATGCTTCAACTTGCAAGATGGCTCGCTCTAATGGCTGGCAAATTGGTCCTGGCTGTCAGGAGCTCAGCAGTGGCTGTAGACCTGTAGTCTTGACTCCTCTCCATGGGGGCCCTCTGCAGGATGCCTGGGCTTCCTCACAGCTTGGTGGCTGGGTTCCATGAGTGAGAGTCCTAAGAGAGCAAGGTACAAATGCATGGCATTTTTGTGTTCTAGCATTAGAAATCAAGTAGCATCACTCCTACCATACTCTTTTGGTTGAGGCAGTCACAAAGATCCACCTCAGTTGAAGGGAAGGGGACAAAGACCCTGCTGCTCAATATGAGGAGTGTGGAGGTCACATTGTGAAAAAAGCATGTGGGATGGAAGATAATGTCTGAGGTCATCTTTGGAAAGTACAATCAGCCACACCTGATTGCACTGCTTTTCCTCAGCTTGGTCATTTTCCTCAGCCCCTACAAGAGGACTACCTTGCTTTTCTCTTTCCTTTTCTATCTTTCCCATCCTTCCTCCCTTCCTCCCTCCCTCCTTTCCTTTTTTATGTTCTTTCTTTTTTTCCCTTTCTTTCTTTTTTTCAGGAGTGAATCCTGTATGTTTGGCAGAATAAATGAAAATTTGAAAAAGAGAGTTTGATTCTTAGTAAGTGAAGCCAAAATCTAGACACTCAGAACTAGTGGCCAGACAGTGGATTGGGGCTGTGGGTACTGGGTCTTTTCTTGAGTTAGACAGAGTGCTTTGAAACAGTTCTGTAACTCCAACCTCTTCTCTAGCAGATAAAGAATCCAGTGAACAAGCTTCGGAAGTCAGTGAAGCACAAACTACAGACAGTGATGACATCATAGTGACACCCATCTATCAGAAATGTCCTAAGGCAGTAAGTACACAGGAGTAATCATTGCGTGTGAGACAAGACTGCAAATAATGACAGTGAGCTTAGTGGCCACAGATGTAAAGTTTAAATCCAGTTTTAATGAACCTGATGGGAAATGAAAGTTATTTAATTAAATTTACATTACGTGGAATAATGTAAATAATGTAAATATCTGTTCATACAGTCAGATGAAAGGATCATTTTCTTGATTTGGTGTAAATGACAACTTGCTTCTACACTTCTCTCTCCTATTTGGATCCTTGCCTTCCCCTTGCTCTCATATTCTTCATTGTGTATTATGATTCATGCCCAGCCTGAGTGATGCCCCTGTCTTTAAATCCTCATAAGAAGAGTGGGTTTACTTCGGCAGTGCAGGGTGGAAGAGAAGGAAGGATTCTTCATGGGAGAGCTCAGAGAGATTGTCGGGCCTTAAAAACTAATGCCACCTTAAGTGACATTACAAGCGGCGCCATTATGGGCCCACAAGGGCGTATTAACGTGGCAGCCTAAGACAGCACCGGGAGGAAGTAGGGTGGGAGTGTCTGCAGGAACCTTGCCTTAGCCCTTATTGGCCAAATACGCGCTTCTGTGCTCATGAACACTGCATGATTGCAATACCTAGGCACTGAGACAGGATGCATGCTCTCATAACCTTTAAGCTGATTGGAGGATATAAAAAACCTCCCTTCCCCATTTGCCTTTAAAAACAAGTGCTTGTGTGATAATAAACAGAACTGCTTGACAGAACCCCCGCCCCCTCTGAGTGTCCTTTAACAAGCTGGTTGGGGCCCGCGGCTGTGCTCACCTCTCTTCACGGCTCTCTTCCCCTGTCTCCTCCCAATGGGAACTGGAGGGAAAGAGGAATCTGGGCAATTCGCTTGCCCACCAAGGGAGAGACTGAAAGCGAGGCTAGGGCTGTTCAGGTCGGCCAGCGGCAGACCCGACAAGAGATCATTCAATTTCTGCAGTTTTTGACCCAACCTGTAATTATTTATTAAATATTTAAGCCTTTCAGTCTCTTTCAGAACTAATTGAGGACTGACACACATACGCAAACACATATTCATAAATGTATCCACAGATATACTCAACAATTATTGTATTAGAATCTTGAGGGGTTACAAATGAGGTAGAAAACATACTCTCTTGAGCCACCGCTACCTGGCACACCTGCTCAATAAATATTTGGGGGTTTTTTTGTGGCTGGCTCATATGGGGATTCAAACGCATGACCTTGGTGTTATAAGGCTATGCTCTAACCAACTGAACTAACCAGCCCTGAGGCTGGCTGGTTAATTCAGTTGGTTGGAACACAGTGTCACAACACCCAGGTCAAGATTTCAAATCCCTGTACCAGCCAGCTGCCAAACAAACAAAAAAAGAGCAAGGAGGTTTGGTTGAGACAGACAGTGGTTTAGAGCGTGGCTCTGCTACTTACTAGCTATTTGTGGGAGTTATTTAACATCTATTAGGCTTTGTTTCCTCATCTGTAAAATGGCAATAGTAAGTATACCTACCTGATAGTGATGTGCAAGATTTAAATAAGGAAAGGGTTTAATACTGTGCCTCAGACAAATTAAGCACTATATGATGGTGGTGGTGATGGCAGTAGTTTATCTTCTCCGAACTATTGTAGTTCTCAAGGTCAAGCTTCTATGATCTGCTGGTGTCTCCTACCAGGAAGCACTAGGCCCTAAGGGAAGGTGATAGAGGCAGAGGGTGTATTTTCCCTTCCACCTGCCAGATCAATTGAATAGGTTGTGCAGTACAATTTTTTTTTCTTTCAACTGGCCAGTATGGATACAGTACAATTTAGAGAAGGTCCTCCCAGAATGTCTTTCTCATATATTGCTGAAAGGAAAAACAATCACAATATATATGGATCTTTATCTGTCTCTCTTTGGGTCCAAAATTAGACAGTTTCTGTGTTAGTAGAATGTGTGTAAGACTGTTCCCCAGGAAGCTCTGTCTGTTAATCAGCATGAGGTTCCTAAAGACCCTCTGTGCTTGTCTTCCATCTAAGAATGCCCAGAAAAAGCTCTCAACCCAAACCACATGGTTTCCTCCAAATGAAGTCCTTTCCTGGTCCTAGGAATCAATCTCCCACTCTGAGCGGACCATAGAAAACTTTTTCCTCCTTTGCTTATCATCTGTTAATGAGAAGGAAGCAATCATTTCAATTGCTCTGTGGCCTCAGATTACTGTCTGTTTAGCAAGAGTATGTATTGAGAACCTCAAAGTTTGTTCTCTTATACTCTTTAATTTCAGGTGTCGAGGACATCCTGGCACCTTGTGTATGCTGGCTAGTTAATTTTAGCAACCTCAACCCCCCAGCCAAATTAGCTAGCACATCTGAACTAATGAGCCAAAGGGAACTGTCTGGCACTAATCCTGCATAACTAATTGCTCACAGAGGTTCTGCCAGCAGGTTCAAATCAGTTAGTATATATTGTAGCTGTTAATATTAACAATTGTGTACTTTTTTGCTGTTCAGTCCCAATAAAATTATATAATGAAACCAGCTCACGTAAAGAATTCTGGATCAAAGAAAAATATTGTATTGAGCCATATGATATTATCATATTTATAGATTAAAAAATGGTTGACTAGTCAGTTGTGTAGAGTTCAACCTGAAAGGAACAAATAAAGCCTCCATATGTACCTGGCTCAAATTTTAATCTTACTCATCCTTCTAATTCATCTTTGTTGTCAAAATAAGGCTGGCCAGTTAGCTCAGCTGGTTAGAACGCAGTGCTCCATAACGCCAAGTACTGGCCAGCCACCCTCCCCGTCAAAAAAAACCAAACAAGCAAACAAACAAACAAAATAACAAAAAAATAGTAGAATAAGTCTGATGTATTCTGTATAAATACAAGGGTACCCCAAAAATTTTGTGGAAAAATAGAATTAAAAGATAATATGAATATTTCCAATTTCAAGAATTTTTTGAAGACCCCCCCATATGTATTTTCTGATCATTGTTCCAGGATTATTTGCAAGTTTAAAATGTTTAAAATGAAATTACACAGAGCTGGCCAGTTAGCGTAGTTGACTTTGATGCCTGTTACTGGCCAGCTACCAGAGAGAGAGAGAGTGAGAGAGAGAGATTAAATTACACAAGTTAGGTAGGAATATATTTTTCTTGTAAAAAACTAGTATAGTACAAATAAAGCTAAATCACCATTGATCACTATCTACAATACCTTGCTACCTCTGTGCCCTTTCACCCCCAAAAAACTATTGTTTTGAATTTTGTGGCATATCTTTTTAGACCTTTTAATAAAAAGAACTTTAATGTTTGTACAGTTTTGTTTTGTTTTTCACTTCAAATCAATGACAGTAAACCGTGCATACTAATCTTTTCTTAAACTTTTTTATTTTGACATAGTCATAGATTTGTAAGCAGTTGCAAAAAAAATGTATAGGGGAGATGCTATGTAACCTTCATCTAGTTTCCTCTTTTTTTTTTTTTTTTTTTGGTAATTCTGAGAATTTGGGGAATAAATTAGTGTTTTTCTATTCTCTCATTCAACAGTCAACACAGAAGACTCCTGTGACCTCTAGTCAACAAGAAGTGTGTGGGATATTTTTTCCCACCAGTAACCAATCAGTCAGTTCTACAGCAGACACCAGCTGGGTACCCTCTAATCCAGTTTTGTTCTGACACTGTCTGCCTGGAGGTAGTGCCACATCTCACAGGTTGAGGGCTCAGTCCCTAAGTCTGCTCCCCACTTCAGATGCCAGTCACCAACCCAAGTTGTTTTACTTGTGCTTCTCTGAACAACCAACTATACGTTGGGGTTCCTATTAATTCCCTCTTTGAGTTTAATTTGCTAGAATGGGTCAGAGAAACACTTCTTTATGCTTCTGCTATCTGGAAGCTCTATGATCCCTGGTATTTTAGGGTTTTTATGGAGGCTTCATTATACAGGCAAGATTAATTAAATCATTGGGCATTGGTGATCAATTTAACCTTAAGCTCCTTCCCCTCCCCAGAGGTTTGGGGGTGGGGCTGAAAGTCCCAAGCATCTATTCCTGCCTTGGTCTTTTTAGTGACCAGCCCCTTTTCTGAAGCTAGGTAGGGGGTGCCAGCCATCAGTCAACTCATTAGGATACAAACAGACACTTATCATTTTGAAGACTCCAAGGATTTTAGGAACTGTATGCCAGGAAACAGCGATGAAGACAAATACATGTTTTGCAATACCACAGTAATTTTATTTTTCAATCAATAATGTTTTGAGTGCCCATCCATGTCGACATATTTAGCTTTTTCTAGTTCTTTCCTCTTAACTGCTGAACAGTCTTCTGTTAAAATAATATATGATCTTTTATTTAGAAAGAACTCGAGTGGGCAATGTTGATTGAGCTTTTATGCTATGTGCCAAGTGCTTGATAAATCCTCCCAGCGGTCTTGTGAGTTACTCATTTTTCAACAGTTAAATATAGAATGGCTGTCTTGGTATCTGCCAAACTCTATGGATACAAAATGATGAATTAGACAGACTTGGTCCCCTCCCTCTTGAATCTTACATTCTACAGAGGGAAAACTGAAATAAATCAGTGAACAAATAAACCAAATAACTGTCGGATTCTAAGTGCTATGAAGAAAATAAATAGGATGATGTGATAGGTAGTAATGGGAGGGTACATTAGGTAAGGGACATTTGAACTGAAATCTGAAGAGAAGAGGAGAGTTGCCATCCACTGCGTAAGCAGCAGACTGTACCCTTTTCAGGAGGAGGAAGTGGCAAACGTAAAGGCTTTAGGATAGGAAAGAGTTTGGTTTATCTGAGGTACATGAAATCAAGTGAAAATTAAAGTTCCTTTTAGTCACATAGATATTATTATTCCCCTTTTCAAATAGGGACCGTGAGGCCTAGGGAGGAGAAGGGCTTGTTTAGGGTAATACTTAATACATTTTTACTGACTGCATACTGTATGCCAAGCCTGTGCCAGGTACTGGATACTTGGGTATAGATATTCATGGGACACAGTCCTGG